AAACCAGGGTTTTGGTGAAACAGGTTCAAGTCTTAGGTTCCCATGAGAGACCCTGGGGCCATGAGGTTTGAAGTGGTTGTGGTGGTCAGCTGGTAGAGCTCGTACTTAGTATAAGTATTATCAGTGTTAGAAAAACTTGGGTTTAGCCTGCTTTGTCACTGGACCTGCTCTTGAGCCAGCTGAGAAGTTTACCCTGGGTGGCTGATCCTACGCTAGGTATGGGAGTTGCCTGTTTAACCTTTTCTCCCATTCCAGTAGGAGATGTTGATTAGATTCATTAGTTAACACTAGACTTCACAAGAAGGGAAAGAAACTTGCTTTCCTATTGTAGAAGTTATCTGGAAGGGATTAAAGCCTTGGCAAATCTCTGGGTAAATAAAAAAAAAAGCGCCCTTTTGTCCCTGGATTATGGAAAAACGTAGCACTGTCGTAATCAGGACTGGAACTAATCCAAGTTTGCGCGCGCTCTCTCTCTCTCCCTCTCTCCCAGGTTCATGCCTCCCGCAGTAACAACATGTGCATCGTTGGCGGTTTTACTCAAATGATCCGAGAGGGGGGACCAAGGTCGCTGTGGCGAGGGAATGGCATCAATGTGTTGAAGATTGCACCGGAGTCTGCCATTAAATTCATGGCCTATGAGCAGGTGGGTAAAAGGGCAAGGACAAATCTGGCTGCAGAAAGACAGCTCGGGTAAGTCAGCGAGCCTCAGTGTCTGTCTGTTCTGGCTTCTACAGATCAAGCGGTTCATTGGTACTGACCAAGAAATGCTGCGGATCCACGAGCGGCTGTTGGCCGGTTCTCTGGCTGGGGCCATCGCACAGAGCAGCATCTACCCGATGGAGGTGAGGCAAATGTGGGGAAAATGGGGGTAGAACACCCAGCACTGTGATAGCTTAATTAATGAGTTCTTGGAGGTGATACCAGGTCATACTGCTGGCGTGATGCTTGCTGTAGTCCTGACCATCCTGCTCTTAAGAATGACATTGTCTGTGTATTTTTCTCCTATTGATTCTCCCGTAGGCCTTCACTGTCCTTATTCTTGCCTTCTAGGTTCTGAAAACACGGATGGCTCTAAGGAAGACAGGACAATATTCAGGCATGTTGGATTGTGCCAAAAACATCCTTTCGAAGGAAGGAATGGCTGCCTTTTACAAAGGCTACATCCCCAACATGCTAGGAATCATTCCGTATGCTGGCATTGACCTGGCAGTCTATGAGGTATGAAGCCTTTAGCCTATTTGTGTTGGGTCTGGCTGAGATTGAGGTAACTTTCCCCAGCCGAGGTCAACCCACCACATTTTTGTAGGGATGTGCTGCTTGTGTGGCTTTATCACTGTCAGACCTGACAGTTTAAGTAATTTTTCAAAGCTTTCCTGATCAGACTTATGGGGCACAAATGGATTTTTTTTTTTTTTTTTTACCCAAAATGGCCTAAAGATAATCCGATACAATGATTCTCTTTTCCTAGTCAGCATCATGCATGGTCCCTTGTTTGTTTTTTTGTTTTATGAGAAAACTGCAGCAAAAAAATTGAAGAAGGGCTTTTCCCCAGGGGTGACAGTAGCATTAGCTCAAAAAGATCTGAGAAGCCTGGTGCTTCTGCTGAATTTGCACGTAGCTTTCTGGGCCTTTACTCTAGATCTTCTCTGTAATGTGCTAGTCTTTTGATGGCCTCTTCACTGCTAACATCTACCTTGTTCCTTCCAGACACTAAAAAATGCCTGGCTGCAACGCTATGCTGTCAACAGTGCCGACCCCGGAGTCTTTGTTCTTCTGGCTTGTGGCACCATCTCCAGTACCTGTGGACAGCTTGCCAGTTACCCTCTGGCTCTTGTGAGGACACGTATGCAGGCTCAAGGTGAGAACTTCTGGGAACTGTGGGAACTCCTGTCATGGTCTCTGAGCAGGGTAAAGGTCCTCTAGTGTAAACATTGCAACAGCCGCCTCCACTGCCCTGTGCAGCTGAGCAGCAGGCTGTGTGCCGTGCTGCAGGGGGACAGTGGACTTTGTGCTGCCCTCGGCGTCTGGGCCAGGCACCTCCAGCCGCTCTGTCCTGCTCCGCGGTGGGCTCGGGGTGTCTGCAGAGCAGGGTGAGCACATGGCTGCGGTGCGCAGCTCCGGTTGCGGGCTGCCGAGCAGTTCGGTGCTGCCCCCCGTGAAGCACCTTTGGGCCGTGAAGGCCCGCAGGAACACGTGGGTCAGCCCTGCTCTTTGAGACAGGAGTGACCCTAAAGCGTTGTCACCGCGTAGGCTGCGTTGTTTATTGTGGCTTTCCCTGTTGCAGCTTCAGTGGAGGGCGCTCCCGAGGTGACGATGAGGGGACTGTTTAAGCACATTCTGAAGACAGAGGGAGCATTTGGTCTGTACCGGGGTCTGGCACCGAACTTTATGAAGGTGATCCCGGCTGTGAGCATCAGTTACGTGGTTTATGAAAACTTGAAGATGACTCTGGGCGTGCAGTCGCGGTGACCAGGAGATGCCGAGGACTCTGAACTCTGAACTCTTGGGGTGCAATCCCAAGACGTATAGCCATCTCTCATTCTGTGAATGTGTTGACACTAAGCTGACTAAGCAAAGCTGTGAAATCTCAGATCGTTTGTGAGTCAGTGAGGGGAGGATCTGGTGTCCTTTGCCATCTTGCTACTCAGACTCCACAGAAACCATCATGTGGTCCTCCTTGTTGGGCCTTTTGGGAGCCCAGGAGGTGAACTCCTGGGAGAATCTTAAGGCGTGAGTTGCTGAGGTCAGTTCCCAGCAGGATGGCAGAGTAGCAAAGGTTTGGGTAACAGGTCTGCTCTCAGCGTGTTGCGTGTACAGAGCTGTTTGCCTGCAGATGAGCACCTTCTGACTTGCTGAAAGAGCTTCTTTTTCCATTCAGAGAGCTTCTTTTTCCATTCAGTTGTTTAACTTCCTACCCGTTGTTTGAATCTGTACAAACCTTGTGTAGGAGCTGCTGCCACACCAGGCTTGTTACTACTATGTTTACATGTATTCCTGTGGGTAGGAGACATTCATGTTCCGCTTCCAAGACTTGACATGAAACGTAACTTTGAACTATACTGGTTTTGAGGGCTGGTGGGCAGTGGTTTATCCAGTCAGGCTGAAGGTTACTTAGGCCAGCCTGATGAAGAATTAGGATTATTTATTTTTTATAGGTTTAAGTGTGTCTCATAAATCCACTAACAAGATGCACTTACTAACAGAAGCAGCAGACTAGAGCCTGCATGCCTGTATCCTTTGCATGCCGGGATTGGCTTGTCTTATACTCAGCAGGGGCTTGGAAAGGGGAAAGCAGGAGAGCCCTGGATGGACTGGCACCTTGATGCATGGCTTTGGTGAACAAAAGACAATATTTCACAGCTCCTGTGCAGTTGTGCTCCCAGCACGACACAAGAGCCCCTGTGCAGCGCTGCATGGACCTCTGACTTCCATTCTGCCTGGTGCCGAGGGCAGCCGGTGGACCTTTTCCAAGCCCTGTGCCTACGCTGCTATCTATCTCTTTAGACCTCTTTGTGGATTGCTGTTCGGGTTTGCATTGGCGGGAACGGAGTCCCCAAGCCGGGAGTATGTCTGCTGTGGGAAGGGGTGTTAGGGAGAGGGGCTGGTTGTCCCTGGGAGAGGTGAGCTTTCAGGCCTGAAGACACACTTGCTTTTCTTTCAAAGGGTGCTTTTCATAA